TTTTTCTACAGACCAAGAAATATTGAGGCTCTAGTATTTACCAAAGTAAATTACATGATCTTTTATTTGAAGTTAAATCTTAAGAATATTTTGCTATTTCTAATTTAATTGGCCTGAACATATAAAAGACTATCCTTAGACCTTTAGTCCTAAACATGAGGTACACAATGTTCGAACTTTAGAAGAAGCTAAGACCAGAGTCATGCCTCCCATGTAAAATATTACCCCCATTCTGACCCATCTTACCCCTGAGGGCCATGATTTGCAGATTCACTTTTTTCACACTCAAATGGTCTCTATGAGAGATACTTACGAGTGTGACTTGGCTCAATGGCCACTCTGACAATAGGAGCAGCATCAAAGTAGAGATCACAGAAAGCTGGGCACATCAGGGTACTGGACACAGTGGCTGATTTCAGGATGTGGTCCTCCAAACCTCCAATTCCTGGATAAATTAAAGAGCAGAAAAAACTTGATTATTCCTTATTTTGTTTAATTCATATGTAACAACTTTCCCACAATTGAATTTGTGTTTTAAACCAGAGGTCACGATTTTCATTCAAACTTTTGAAAGATTCATCATTGACCATCATAACTATACATATGGATTGGTTACCTAATACCATCAACAAAGAAGGGGAGGAAAGAAATTCATTTTAACTAATCAGTAAAAATCAGCATTACATGTAATCAATAGTGACTCCACCCAATAGGAACCCCTGACCCTGGGGCATAATACTATTTTGTAAAAGGCACCCTTGCTAATCATAAATGTTTGTTCAATACCAAGGAGCAGATTTCAAAGCATAAATCCATTTTCAGTATGTAATCATTAGAGCCCCACTCCTCTAGGGTTCACGTGAGCCTGGGGCCATAAAATTCATAATTTTGGAAAAGGCTTCTTTGCTCATCATACATGTGTAGCTATGTATGTAGTTAGTTTGTTTAAGACCCAAGAGCAGAGAAGAAGATTTTCAATTGAAAGAATTAATGCATTTTTTCACTACATAATTTATAGCCCCAACCTAGCACCAGAAACCAGACTTTTGGGTCATGCATTTCACAATTTTTGTAAAGGATTGAATGCTTATTACAATCATGTCAACAGTTTGATTATTACAATTATGTCAACAGTTTGACTGTTTGATGTCCAGGAGTAAAGAAGATTTTTAAAGATTGCATTAGTTTTAATGGCTTTCGCTCCATCCCTCGGGACCCAAGGGGACAGGGACTATGGAATTCAAAATCTTTGTTCCCCTTTAGCCATAGATGATTAGTGCCAGAATTGGTTGATATTGGTTCAGTGGTTCCAGAGAAGAATCTAAAAATGTTCAAACATTTACGACCAACGAAGGATGAAGCCATACACTGAACAAAGATATAACAGATAGAAATAGGTCAACTGAATCATAAAAAAACTAAAAAAAAGTTCTCAAATTTTGTTAAGAAATACAAAATCTTTTTTTTTAAAGCCGCTTAGTCCGATTCTAATCGCGAAAAAAATATGTTCTTTTTCTTCTTGAAAAATAACTGTCCATAAATTGTATCAACTTTTGTAAAATTATATCCTCCAAAAGATACCAAAATTCAAAAGTTAGAAAAAAATAGTTTTTGTTGGGTCACACAAAAAATAATCCTATGACGATATTGCTTTGCAATGGCATGAAATTGCCTTTGAAAAATTAAATTTATCGCTTATATATCTAATTATGAAGACCAAACCTGAGCAATTTTCTTCAGAACAAAGTACCTGTACATGAACAATATTTTAGACTTCGTCACTGTACTTCATCTAAAAAAGAAATCTTTAAAATATCTGATTTTCCTTTATTCTTTTAAATGTGCATATTAATATAAGAATTACTGTGGATTACATTCAATTAATTTCTTTAATTTAAAAAAAAAGATATATTATGACTTGGGCTTCGACTAATGAAAAAAAAGAATACTCGGGTTTGTTTTTCATAGTTAGATATAAACGAATAAAATTATTTTTTTCAAAGGTGACTTCACGACATTGAGAATGTCAAGATCTCAACTTCTGTTTGTCAATAAGATTTTTGATCCGTTTTCCTTTTTATGATTGTTATAATTAACTATAAAACAATCTTATAATTTATTTTCATATATTTTCTATGTAATGACGTACTTTTATTGTGTATGTAAATAAGATCTAAAATTAGGAAAATGCAACATTATACAAATTCACCTAATATTTTCATAATTTAAAGTTTTTTTTAATGGAAATACATTTGTTTTGTATTTTGTTTGGTACAAGCTCAGTATGTTCCCTGCTGGAATGTGGTCCATCCCTTCCAAATCCCTCTCCATGAATTCGAACAATTGATAGTGACACAGGTCACAGGATCATCATGTGACAACTCCTGAATGCTATTCACTTCTTTTATTTTCTCACCACTATGTATCTGTAATATGAAAAAAGTTTTGGTAAAAATAGCATACATGCATAGCAATGTCATATTAATTTATGCTACTAAAAAATCATTCTCTGCCAATATAAAGCAAAATAAATGGTTCACCGTGATAAATATTTAAAGTATTTAAAGTATAAAGTAGTGAATTAAAGTAGCTCGCAAAACTCATTAATATTGCTCTCAGATGAATAAAAGTTGGTTTACCGTAATCCTCAGTGGGTCTACATTGTACCTTTTTAGCTATCAGGGCTGGATCATGTTTGGACCCCAGTACATACAGCTTCTGTCCCTTTCTGATGGTGCCACTAAATACCCGCGCAAACGCAACAAACACAAAGCCTGTCTCCTTCTCTTTACTCTCTGGGTCATCCTCAGGAAGGGGGTTAAGGGCTGTAAAATGTTATTGTAATATTGAAAAAATGTACATTCTGACCTGACAGTCAAATCAAATAAGTCGTATTTGTACATTACTTATTGTTCATTTTAATAAAATGAAAACTGTAAATTATAAATGAACCAGACACACTAGAACTTTTAGATTATTAATGTCTCAAATTCTTGTACAACCTTCAGTAGTCTCCCCTTCCTGAGATACTGTCTCAGTTGTCTGCCCTTGACTCCTAGCTGCTGCCCTTTCTGCCTTTTTCTTTGAGTTTTCTTCCTCAGCTTCTGTTTAAGGTTTGCCCAAATGCACAGAAAATGTAAAATCCTACACCCTTTTTTAATATGCAGCAAATTATTCAGTACAGTCAAATATCATACATTATTTGTACAGAAAAATTTCCCAGTTCTTGCAAGTAACATCAATCAATATCCTGGGGGAAAATAATGTATACTATAAATTAGTATTGACTATAATCATTCTAGCTTAGCTATAAATATCTACCTTTGTTTTGGGGAAGCATTTTCTTGTCATTTTGCAACATTATGGAAAGGTACAATCACAGGAGATTCTTCTGATGCAGAGCAGTTTATGAAAGCTGTGAAAAAAGTAAAAATTAACTTGCGCCCTGTTACTTACAATAAACACATTATTGTCACTTGTCAACACATTCATTTGGTGAAAATATTTAAAATGCACCTATTATTGCCTTACTTATAGACACATTATTTTTTTCGTGGGGTAAATATGATGAATTTATAGTCAAATACTGTTAAACATCTGAAGCACTTATTTAATACCCTGAGTCAAACTTCCTCACCAGCTGGAGAAACGATTGCTTTTTATTCTTTCTTCTAATAGAGAAAGTGGTGAGTGAAGTTATCGACAATGACTCCTGAAAATTTTCAAATAAATCATTTCTACATTATTTATATAGAGCATTAATTAAAGTAAATGTATAAGATGCTTTAAATGTGTTAAAATATAACTTTTTTATACAATAATATTGATTCAAACACAAATCAAAAGATCCTCATAAGGTTCTTGTGATTAATGTATATTATATCAAACCTGATTGGAAAACATTTACCAGATATTGATAAAATGTATTGATAACCTAGATGCTGACTCACAATTAATCCTAGCATGAAATATTTAAAAAAGTGATACACTTTTAATTCATATTTATCTAAGTTGTGTTATATATTTTAATTATATTCATTGTGTTTTCATGCAGGAAAATTAAACATAGAAATCTACTGCATATTATAAAATGGCATATTTCCATATTAATCAGCAGAGAGGTAGAGATTTAAATGACACCACAATATCTATATTCATCAATCATTTTAACTTTCCACATTCCTTTTCAATACTTTTTCTTCCCTATATTCCTTCTTCACTTGAAGCTTGGCTGAAAATATTCCCTGAATTCTTCGTGAAGTTATACTGAAAAAAAAACATCCCTTTATATCTTTCCAAATGTTACAATTGCGCCAAATAACATCAAAATATATTTTACCAATATGTATTTACATCAGAAAAGCTTTGATTAAAGCAAGATTCTTGCTTTAATATATGATCTTAATTACTGTAAACCAACTTTTATTCACGTGAGAGAAATTTCCACGAAGTTAGCGAGAGCCTTGTCATCTCCAATATACATGTATATCGTGTCAAACAGTTCTTAAAATGTATGTGTCCTATAACATTGATCCAAAAAAGCTTGATCGCGAATATTTATTTTCGCGAACTAGTTTATCCCTGGTAGATCGCGACATAAAGTCGTCAAGGATACAAGTTTTTTTATTCACGTGAGAGAAATTTCCACGAAGTTAGCGAGAGCCTTGTCATCTCCAATATACATGTATATCGTGTCAAACAGTTCTTAAAATGTATGTGTCCTATAACATTGATCCAAAAAAGCTTGATCGCGAATATTTATTTTCGCGAACTAGTTTATCCCTGGTAGATCGCGACATAAAGTCGTCAAGGATACAAGTTGGTTTACAGTATATAGGATCCTGTCTTAATATACATTTCCAAAACCAGAGAAAGATTCATATTGAGACTTTGATATAACACTCATTTAAAAATGACAAAAACAAAATTAAAACAGCTTTTAAAACAATTTATTACAAACAATACAGACATAATCAAAATTCAATTTAACAATTCAGTATTTATTTCATTTTGGTTAGTGTCCTTTGTCTTCAGCATGCTCCACTATTTTCTCGTCCACTTTGAGTCCCTTCCGTTTCTGGACCTGGTTCTTATAATGTCTGGCTCTGTTGTCAGAGTCCGCCTTTTCTCCAAAATGAGTGTATTCCTCCTCTGTAGTGGGCACCCAGAAAGGGTCAACATCCAATACCTGCAAAAAATAACAAAATAAATGAATAAATGGCAATTAATTGATAACTTCGATCACCGGAGTGAAAAAACTGTGAAAATTAATCAAACAAAATCTGTATTATTTGTGAATCACTCAATCAAGTTTAATGATAAGAAATTTCAGGAAGTATGTGTACATATATATGTTTATAAACAATCAATTTTTATTTACTTATTACTGTAAAATTTTCTTGGGGTCAAATTTTTTGGGTTTGAGGACAAAAATATTGGTTTGTGGGGATTTAAATACGTGTTTTGAAAATGTTTGGTAGTAATTCATATGACATTTTACATTTCATGGTGGTCATTAGTCGAAGGGTGTCTTCATACCTCGAAAACAACAAAGACTACCCCCCCCTCCCCCCACGAAAATTAGTGATTTCACAGTATTTACTATGTAGAATGTATTTTTATCAGAGTACTGACCTCCCAATGGCTGAACACCAGTTGAGGACTGGCCAAACCACTTGTCTTCTTCCTCACATCCTCAGCAAATCCAAAACTCTCTACCACGGGCAGCACGGCCTTAATGTTAAAGTTCTGAGAGCCCTCCATCACTGTGTCCTCAACAACTCGACCAAACCACTTACCCAGGACACCACAAAGTTTTTTAATAATAAAAATAAAGAACACGAACTACTGAATAAGAACTCAACAACTTAGCCAAATTGCTTTACTTTAACATTATACAAAGTCATGTAATTTCATTCATAAAATTGTTCATTACCGAGGTAGCAAACAAAATGCTCTGTCACAAAATTAAAAATTTTTAACTTAAAATTCATTAAAAACATTTGAGACTGAAATATGAATGATTTATATTGACATTTCCCCTTGAATATTTTTATAACTTTATGCTCACATTGTACTTCACCTACCTAAGACTTCGGCTGTAGCTTGTATGTTACACTTATACATGGCTACCATCAGTCTCTGAGGTCTGGTCTGGAACGCTTTACGACAGCCCTCCTTCACACAGTAGATCAGCTGACCTGACATGTGACTGTGCCCCTCCTTCTATCTCGGTTGAGATTGCTCAATCTCACTGTCAGTAGACTCGGTCTCAGACTCGCTGCCATCCTTGTCTCTGTCAGTTTCACTTTGTGTTACCTTGGACACAGATTCAGTCTGACTTTCTGAGGTAGGATTATCACAGGAATTAATTTGAGTTAACTCCCTTTTTTGAACTTCTTCATCAAGAGAAATTAAGTGACTACTCCTAACATAGTTCCATTCCTCAATTATGAAACACACACCCCTCAAGGGCTCCCCACACTGAAATCCACTGATTATGCTGTTATCATACTGTACTTATGACTATCACAGATTGCTTGACTTCCAGACCTTCCCTCCCCTTACCATGAGCCTTGGAGATCTGACACATTGTCTTTATCAGATTTTGATTCTCCTCCAGTAGCCCTGTGACATCCTCCGGTAGAGGCACCGCCCTGATTCTGAGGGTACACCTCCCATTGATCGTGCTGACTTCCACTAAGCCTGGCTCAATGATCTCATCGTCTTCTGTATCTTTCTTGATGACCTGACGTTGGTCTGAGATGGCTTCGTTCACCATGTCTGTTTTTGGTGGAGGGACGATTGTTTCTCTGAATGGGACAATTGGTGAAAACACATTAATGTCTATCTTAGCATACCTAAAAGAAAGAGGCGCAACTGTACAGTCCATCAATTCAAAGTTTCCTAAGTGATATTCCACCCTATCCAGACTTTAAAAAATGTTTACAGACAGACAAGCAAACATTAAGACAGATGGACTTCTTGCCAACACAGTTATCTAACCTTTCTCTGAGGTCGTCCACACATCTCTGTAGATGAACCTCTCCTGCTGTGATGATCACGTGTTCACCTGTCTCCTGAACCAGAACCTGAACACACGGATCAGCCTGGTTCAACAATCTCAGACCCTCCACCAATTTCTGCATGTCACACAAGAAATACATGGGTCACAGATGGTCATTTGAATCTCTATACCCTTGCTGTTCTTCAGAAAAAGATGTTATCTCTCTTGGTATGCATGAGACGTGTTTAAACTCATTTTGTGTAACTACTTCAGTTATGAGATGAACAATTTTGAACCTACACATCATGAAGATGTAGTGACATCAAAAGGACAAACATTGGGAGAAAATGGTGTTTAACTTCTATACATGTACATATTTATGTTAAATTTAATTTCATGTGTTGGCACAACCTTAACCTTAAGGACATAAATCAAAAAATAATGTACAATGCCACAGCATGATATGCCTTTCAAACATTACAATTATCATAAACAGTATAGATTTCAAGAAAATCATGTCAACTTTGATTCTAAGATTAATTCCATGGTTTTTCCATACCTTAAAATATTTATCCAACCCTGTGGTATAGATGTTAGTAATAACAAAAAGAGGCCCATGGGCGTTATAGGTCACCTGAGTACATGTATCATGTAACAACTTTCCAACAATTTTAAAATTCGATTCATGTTTTAAACAAGAGGCCATGAAATTCACAACTTTGAAAGAGGTCCCATTGCATATCATAACTGTACAATTAGCATGCTTACTTTCATTACTTAATCAGTTGTGCACCCTATCCCACAGGAATCACTGACCCTGGGACAACATTTTTCAAAATTTTGGAAATTTTATAAAGTTTAATTCATTATGTTGTTCATTTATACCAAAATGCAGATCTCGCATTAAATTACTTTCAGACTATTTACGCTCCCACTCACCCCCACCCCCTCCCAAGTTCTGTACCTCTGTCCCAGGGGTCCGGAAATAGAAGAAGCTTTCTTCATCATAAATATGTACTAAGATCATTGGCATAATACCCAGGAGCAAAGGAAAAAAATTTCAAAGAATTCATGCATTTTCACTATATAAACATGATTAGAGCCCTGCCCTAACACAAGAAGGCCTAACCCAGGGGCCCTGAAATTTACAAATCTCACAGAGGCATCCTTCTCCTCAGAACTATGTACATACATGTAGTTCATTGGTTTAATTCCCAGGCGCAGAAAAGAACATTTTTAAAGAATTTATCCATTTTCACTATATAATCAATAGAGCTCCACCCTAACACCAGAACCCCCAACCCAGGGGCCATGAAATTCACAATTTTGAAAGAGGCAGCTTTATTCAACATAACTATGTACTTGGTAAGTTTTTAATACTCAGGAGCAGAGAAGATTTTTTAAAAAAAATAATTCATTTTCACTATATAATCTTAATAACCCTACCCTTGCACTAGAACCCCTGACCCTGGGGCCATGAAATCCACAATTTTGGAAGAGGCAGCCTTATTCAACATAACTATGCACTTGGTTGGTTTATTTAATGCCCATCAACAGATAAAAAGAATTTCAAAGAATTTATGCATTTTCACTATTTAATCTATATAGCCCCACCATGCCACTAGAACCCCTGACCCTTGGGCCATGAAATTCACAATTTTGGAAGAGGCAGTCTTTTTCAACTAAACTATGCACTTGGTTAGTTTATTTGATGTCCAGAATTTCAAAGAAATAAGGCATTTTCACTATAAAACCCATTTAGCCCCGCCCTACTACTAGAACCCCTGACCCTGGGGCCATGAATTTCACAATTTTGGTAAAGAACACAATGCTGGTTACAATCATATCAACAGTTTGGCTGCTTTATGTCCAGGAGTAAAGAAGACAATTTTTAAAGATTGCACTAATTTTAGTGGTTTTGACCCCATCCCCAGGCCCTAGGGGGGCAGGGACCATGAAATTAACAATTTTTGTTTCCCTTCACCCATAGATGCTATATGCCAAAATTGGTTGAAATTGGTGCAGTGGTTTCAGAGAAGAATCTGAAAATGTTCAAATGTTAACACACGACGCACGACGATGAACGAAAACGGATAGCAATAGGTCACCTGAGTTTACTTAGGTGACCTAAAAATTACATCATTGATAGATTTTTATACTGGTTGTGTTAGCCCTTGTCAAATGCCCATCATACCAGCCAATATCAAATTGGTCTTAACAACTTAATCTATACCAAATTAATTTTGAAAATAAAAGGCTGACCATCAAAAGACAAATGCTAAATACTGACCAACAGTTCTTCAATGCAGATAAAACTGTTTGATCAGAGATGCTTTAAAAGAAACAAGAGGCCCATGGGCCACTGTCGCTCACCTGAGTAGCTTTGACCATGATTGCTCTTTACCATATTTTCCCCTTTTAATATATATTATGACCCAAACCTACCACCATGACCACTTGGGTTATATTTTGGACAATTTAAAATCTACACTACACACTGATGCTTCCACATAAGTTACTGCTTTTCTGGCCCAGTCGTTCCTTTGAAGAAGATTTTAAAAGTATTTTCCTAGTATATATTTCAAATATAAAACTTATGTTTCCTGATGTGGCCTCGCCTTACCCCCGGGGTCATGATCTGAACAATTTAGAATATACACTACCCCAGGATGTTTCTACATAAGTTTCAGCTTTTCTGGCCCAGTACCTCCTGAGAAGAAATTTTTTAAAAAGTTTTTCCAATATAAATCTATGTAAAACTTCTAAAAAAAAAAAAAGCTATTCTTGAGAAAAAGATTTTTCAAAGAATTTTCCTATATATATTTCAATTTTGGCCCTGCCCTACCCCCGGGGGGTCATGATTTGAACAAATTTGAATCTATACTACCTAAGGATGCATCCATATAAATATAGACAGACATGGCTTTGTTATTCTTATTTTTAAAGAATTTTGCTATATATTTTTATGAAAAACTTTGATCGGCCATTGTGGCCCTGCCCTACCCCCAGGGTCAGGATTTGAAAAAAACTTGAATCTACACTACCTGAGGATACTTCCCCATAAGTTTCATCTTTCCTAGCACAGTTGTTCTTGAGAAGAAGATTTTTAAAGCATGCCACCAAATTTTCACTAATTCCCAGTTATCTCCCCTTGAATGACATTTGAACAAACTTTAATCCACTTCACCCAAGGATGCTTTGTACCAAGTTTGGTTAAAATTGGCTCAGTGGTTATTGAGAAGAAGTCGAAAATGTGAAAAGTTTACAGACAGACGGACAGCTCGACAGAAAGACGCCGGACAAAACGTGATCAGAAAAGCTCACTTGAGCCTTCGCCTCAGGTGAGTTAAAAATGGATGCTGGAAATCCTGATCAGAAAAGCTCACCTGAACCTTTAGCTCAGGGAAGCTCACATAAAGTGTCTGATGAGACTAGCTCTACTGGTTTGTACATGAAATGTTAGAGGAGAAGAGGAGCACTTGGAATGTTAACTATGTAAATGCAATAAATAGACTTATGATGCCTGGTCAAGTTTCTATATCTGTCAAAATAAATTGCAATCAGACTAAAGCAGTAGAAGTGATAAAGACCCCAGTGATTTTAGTGATTCAATTGTTCAAATGACCCCATAATTCTTTTTGCAGAATATAATATTCTTTATTATATATTTGTACATACAAGTACATAAGAAATAGAGTTTTATTCTGGCACATCAAACTAAAATGGATATTTTTTTAATTCTTAGTTAGCCCTTACTGACAGACAAAAACCTTAATAAAATCTAATCCTGCATTGCAAAGGGCAAATGCTTTAAAGGTATTTAAAAGCCTCCTAAACCAGGAAGTAAAGACACCTGACAGGAAGATAACACTGGTGTGTCACGTGATCAGAGTACACAAAGATAGACTTACTTGGAGATCGATCAACAGGACAGCCGCCATTACTAAAGTCAGGTAACTTGCATTTCTGATTAATATTTATTTTTTTTAAAGATTAGAAAGTTTTTCTGCAGGGTTTAACCATGAGTAACAAAATTCATTGCCTCATTGTTGACATATATTGGGTAAAGTTTGTGCGCTAGACTTTAGGAATGAATATCAAGATCAGTTGGGTAGTCAACATTACAAAGTATGATGTCTCCAACTTTCTACAAGTAATTCATACAGTAAATACTGTCTGGAATGTCAACATTATCAAGGATGTCAACATCTGGAATTGTACCTGTATTTCTCAAACTTTCTTTCATGCAAAGATCCACTAAAAAATTTGACTTATCTATCTCTGTCAGCAAATCCACTTAAGGTACATTGATACTCTGATAAGAGAGATAACTCTTTATGACACAATTGTCTATTATTCATTTATAAATTTGTCAAGTTTAAGTGCCTTTTTTGTCGAATTTTGCCCCGCAAGCCATGCTATAATTGTTTGTATTTTATCCAGTATATATATATATATTTGCTTCAGAAAATCATAAAAGTTAAAGAAAATTTTCATACGAGTGAGCAGAGGGTTTATGAACCTTAATTCTTTTTTCTTTGTATTTGATTTTTTAAAATATATACATGTATAAATATTCATGAGAAGGAATTTTGTGCTTCAGGAAAAATTAGAGATGGACCCCCATACCAGTGCCCAAGACGTGATGCGATGTGACCTGTGTGAGACCGCTGTGGTACAGATGCACTGTGATACATGTCTTGTCAACCTGTGTAAGGCCTGTGTAGGAGAACACTTTTCTGCTGATCTCTTGAAACCTCATAAAATTGTGGACTTCAAAGACAGAAAATCCACTCCCCTATACCCTAAGTGTAAAACTCATCCCATTGAAAGATGTGAAATGTTCTGCAAACAATGTGACATTCCTGTCTGCAATAACTGCCTTGCATCTAAGAAACATTTAGGTCATGAATTATGTAAACTCTTGGACGTTCTCAGTGGCAAAAAGGAAGTGATTAAACAAGAACAAAATGAATTAAATGATACAATTTATCCAACCTACCAGAACATTGCCTCTAATGTACAAAACAGAATGAGTCAATTAGAAAAGGAATATGGAGATCTCTCGACAGCCATAACAAAACATGGAGAGGACTGGCACAGAGAAATTGACAAACTTGTCCAGAAACTTAAAGCTGAAGTTGTTGAGATGAAAAACACACAGTTACAAACTCTACAGAAACATCTGGATGAAATAAACAAGTCAGTATCTGACATCAAGGAAGAAATTAATTTAATGCAAACTGCAATAGACACCAATGACTTGTCAAAACCATTGAGTGCCATGTTCAATGTACACATATACAGAAATCTTCCAAACAAATTAGTACTATCTTTACCCAAATTCGTTTCAGAAAAAATACAACATGAAGAACTTTATAAACTATTTGGAGCCTTATCATCAAGTTCTTCAACATCAGATAAACATGGCTACAGCATGAAGACAACACAGAAATCACCAGAAGCTGAATCCTCTCCTCCAGTCAAACAGCTGCTTGATCAACCAGAGACTGTCACCACCATAGACACTGGGTATGACTACCTTTACAATGTGGCCTGTCTGAGTGATGAAGAAATCTGGACAAGTGGTGGTGACAGCACCATGAAACTCTACAGCATCAATCAGGAATCACTGTACAAGTCAATCAGAACCAAGTCAGGGAACATGCCATGGGATACAGCAGTGACAAAAAGTGGAGATCTAGTTTATACTGATTACAGTGATAGAACTGTGAACATTGTGAAGAATGAGAAGATAGAGGAGGTGATCAGACTACAGAACTGGAAACCTAAAGGTGTCTGTAGTACCTCCTCTGGTGACCTCCTGGTTATCATGGACAGTGATGATTACACACAAACAAAAGTTGTCCGTTATTCTTGCTCCGCAGAGAAACAAACCATTCAGTTTGATGATAAAGGTAAACATCTCTATTTATCTGGTGGTTATATCACATACTACATAACTGAGAACAGGAACCTGGATATCTGTGTGTCTGACAGGGAAACTAAAGCAGTAGTGGTGGTCAATCAGGCCGGGAAACTGAGATTCAGGTACACTGGACATACTCCTACTCCACAGAACCAACCATATGATCCAAGGGGAATCACCACAGACAGTCAGAGTCACATCCTTACAGCTGATCGTGACAATGAGTGTGTCCACATCATAGACCAGGATGGACAGTTCCTCCGTTACATAGAATGTGGACTGAGTAAACCATGGGGACTGTGTACAGATACGAAAGACAATCTGTTTGTTGCTCAATTGAAAAAACAAAAAGTGAAGAAAATCAAATATTTGCAGTGAAATACATCACATTGCTACAGTAAAACTATGAAACCTTGTAATATTTTTTTTTTCGTCTCAAACATGAAGTTCATTATCATGCATATCTGAAGGAAATTATAAACATTATATATGTAAACATGAAAACAAAAAAAAGCTGCATGCATAAAAACAATGTATATTTTCAAACTGATATAAGATATTAACTCTTTACAACTTACTGAACTATTTTGCAACATGCACTTTATGTTAACATCATAGAAATAGAAATATACCATTTCCCTGCAAGCACCTAATACCGTGGAACACGTTTCTTTAATGTTTAGCGTAAATAATATTTTGATGTTATACTTTAAGACAAAAACATCTTTTCTTATTCCATGAAATTTTTGCAAGCATAAAACAGAAGGAAATTGGCATTAATTTAAATATTAAATGAACTTTTTAAAGTGCGTGAAAATGAGTGATTGCCGGGAAACGGTATATGCGTGATTTTGCGTTAGAAATAGGGAATGGTATATGCGTTAAAATGTGTGACTGCGGGGAAGGGGGTTAAAAAAGTTTATTCAACATTTGTCACAAATTTTTTTGTAACGTTCCATTATTACATGTTTATTTAACATATCCAAAACAATAAAATGTGACCTTTTTTCTACAGACCATAAATCTTGTGGCCCCGCTAACAAGAGGCCCAAGGGCCTTGAATCGCTCTTCTGAAAAATTATATAATCTATCCCAAGACCCAAAGTGCATCAACTGACAAAGTTTGATATTCTTAGCAAGTTAGGGCTGAAGATATTTAATTTAAATGTAACTGTAAAATACTATAAGTAGGTCATGGTGACCTACTATTTGATTGAAATTTTCTGAGGATACAAGATGCATTAATTGACAAATATTGATGATTCTAAGCCAATAAGTACTTGAGATATTCAAAAATGGGTCACAGTGATCTACTTATTGGTCAACATTCTCCAAAAACCCAAGGTGCATCAACTAACAAAGTTTGACAATTCTTAGCCAATAAGTACCCTAGAATACTTTAATATAGCCATAAATGTCACAAGTAGGTCAACATGACCTACTTTTTGATCATCATTCTCTGACAATTTAAGATGCATCAAATGAGAAAGTTTGATGATTCTAAGCCAATAAATACCTGAGATACTTAAATATAGCCATAAAATGTCAAAATTAGGTCACCGTAACCTACTTTTTAGTTGTGAATCACCGAAAACCCAAGATGCATCAACTATCAAAGTTTGATAATTCTACGCCAATAAGTACCTGAAATACCTAAATATAGCCATAAAATGTCAAAAAGTAGGTCAAGTTGACTTATTTTTTGGTTGAAGATCTCTGAAAACCCAAGATGCATCTACTGAGAAAGTTTGGTGATTCTATGCCAATAAGTACCTGAGATACATAAATGTAGCCATAACATGTCAAAAATAGGTCACCGTGACCTACTTTTTGGTCGACATGCTCCGAAAACGCAAGATGCATCGAATTACAAAGTTTGATGATTCTTAGTCAATCAGTATCTGAGATGTACAAAAGTAGGTCACCGTGACCTACTTTTTGACCCTCAATCTCCGAAAACCCAAGATGCATCAACTGACAAAGTTTGATGATTCTAAGCCAATAAGTACCTGAGATATTTAAATATACCCATAAAATGTCGAAAGTACGTCACCGTGACCTACTTTTTGGTCGACATTTTCTGAAGACCAAAGATGCATCAACTGACAAAATTTGATGATCATAGATCTAAAGGTATTTAAAATATGCCTTTCAAACAATTTGAAAATAAATGCCTGCAGAGTTCAAAAAGTAGGTCACAGTGACCTACTTTTAAATAAATTTGTTTTAAGGCCCCAAGATGCATCAACTTACAAGATTTGGTGATTCTTAACCTCTCGGTGTCTGAAATAATGGGATTAAATATTTTAGAAAAGATTAGACATAAAGTTCAAAAAATAGGTCACGGTGACCTACTTTTCAGTTGACATTGTTCAAGGACCCAAGATGCATCAACTGACAAAGTTCTATGATCATAGGCCTTAAAGTATTCAAAATATGCATCCAAATCAATTTAAAAACAAAAGCCCGTAAAATTTTAAAAGTAGGTCACCATGACCTACTTATGTGTTACATGATGTGAAGTCCTGAGATGCATCAACTTATAAGATTTGATGATCCTAGTCTTTATAGTAAGCAAAATATCAATGTTTTTAATAAGTAAATTTTGGTCAAATTTGAAGTGGCCTTGAGACCACGCCCTTCGCCCCAGGGTCATGCCTTGAATAATTTGTAATCTTCAACATATCCAAACCATTACCTGTAAGTTTGGTGAAAATCTGCCTGGTGGTTCTGGAGAAGAAGATTTTTTAGCAACCAGTACTTTTTATTTTATTTTATTGATTGTCTCCCCTTGTTTTAGGGTCCCACCCCTAGTTTCAGTATAAATGGTAGCCCTTGGGCCAAGGATACCCTGTGACAAATTTGAAAATGATTGGCCAAGGGGTTCTTCAGTTATTGCCCATATTCTAAAAAGTTAATGCACACCGCACACCACTAGACGCACACCGCACAAATGGCCATAGCATTAGCCCTTTGAGCCTTTGGCTCAGAAGAGCTAATAACAAAAGTTAATTACTTGTCATGAATACAATACATAATCTTATCTTTGAAATAAAATTTTTTGCATATTTTGCTGTAATTGCTAATTCTATGGGTCTGAACATACATATATATGGACACTGTCTTTAGGCCTCAAGCCTAAAATGCATGAAACATAAAATTAAATTTTGCTACTTAATGAGACTCATGCCTCATGACTATATTCAATGATCTCTATGACAGATAATCACGAGTATGACTTGATTCTATGATCTCTATGACAGATACTCACAAGAATGACTTGGTTCTATGAACTCACGAGAATGACTTGGTTCTATGACATCTCTATGACAGATACTCACAAGTGTGACTTGGTTCTATGGTCTCTATGACAGATACTCACGAGTTTGACTTTGTTCTACGACTTCTATGACAGATACTCACGAGTATGACTATGGTCAATGGTCTCTATGACAGATACTCATGAGTATGACTTGGTTCTATGGTCTCTATGACAGATACTCACGAGAATGACTTGGCTAGTTGGTCTCTATGACAGATATTCACAAGTATGACTTGGTTCTATGATCTCTGACAGATACTCACGAGTATGACTGGGTTCTATGGACTCTATGACAGATACTCACAAATATGACTTGGTTCTTTGATCTCTATGACAGATACTCACGAGTGTGACTTGGCTCTATGATCTCTATGACAGATACTCACAAGTATGACTTGGTTCTATGATCTCTATGACAGATACTCACGAGTATGACTTGGTTCTATGATCTCTATGACAGATACTCACGAGTATGACTTGGTTCTATGATCTCTATGACAGATACTCACGAGTATGACTTGGTTCTATGGCCACCCTGACAATAGGAGCAGCATCAAAGTAGAGATCACAGAAAGCTGGACACATCAGGGTACTGGACACTGTAGCTGATTTCAGGATGTGGTCCTCCAAACCTCCAATTCCTGGAATAAAGTATAGGAAAAACGTATGCCTTATGTATTTTAATTCATCAAAAAAGGTCCTCACTTCTTATTAAAAAATATAATGTCTTTAGTGCATTGAATCAAATCTAAAATTTAGAAAAATGCAAAATAATTAAAAATTCCCCCAATATTTTCATGGTTTACACAGAAATTGACCTACATAGAAATATATTTTTTATTTTGTATGGTACAAACCCAGTATGTTCCCTGCTGGAATGTGGTCTATCCCTTCCAACTCCCTCCCCATGAATACAAACAATTCCTTGATTGTGACACAGGTCACATGATCATCATGTGACAACTCCTGAATGCAAATCACTTCTTTTATTTCCTCAACACTGTGTATCTACGTGTATATCATGAAAAAGAGTGTTGGTAGAATAGTATACATTTATAACATTTAAATAATAAAATTACCTTGATAAGCATTTCAGATGTTCGATGGCTAGGGTCTTAATAACTTGGGCTAATAACTTCATAGATTATGTATATTACATGGACAGTTGTTATGTAATTATGTAGTCGGTCTACCTTTTTAGATATCATGGCTGGATCATGTTTGGGCCCCACTACATACAGCTTTTGTCCCTTTCTGATGGTGCCACTAAACACTAAATGCAAATGCTACAAACACAAAGCCTGTCTCCTTCTCTTTACTCTCTGGGTCAACCTCAGGAAGGGCGCTATGGGCTGTTAAATAGTATTGTAACATTGTACAGTTGTTGACTGGGGTAGAGGGCAACAGGTGATCTAGATCTGTTGGACAGGAGTGCAAGCTGTTGCCCAAGGCTGTAGGCCGCGGGCAGCAGTTTGCACTCCGGTCCAACTGGTCAATTGTTTTTCGAGATTCCTGTAAACAACTGTTTTGTTTTATTCCTTTGCCAAATAAAAAAGATAACCCAATTTAGGGTCATATAACTTCATCGGGCAAAAGTCTTTTTTAAACAGTCTATTTTATCTGTTCCTGGACCAGCAGTTGGGGTCGTACTTGTACATTACTTACTGTTCATTTGATAATACATACACTGTATATTATAAATTAACTGGACCCACTAGAACCTTTCAAATCTATTCATGTCTCAAAATTTTGTACAACCTTTAGTAGTCCCTCCTTCCTGAGTGACTGTCTCAGTTGTCTGCCCTTGATTCTTTGTTGCTGCTCTTTCTGCCATTTTCTCTTTGCTTTTCCTCGTCTTTCTGCAATTTCAGCTTCTGTTAAAGGTCTGTCCAAATGCACAGAAAATGTAAAACCTAAATAGACTCTTTTTAAATATGCAGCAAATTATACAGAACTGTCGAATTCCAAACATGTTTTTGCAAAGAAAAAGTTCCCAGTTCTTGCAAGTAACAACAATAAAAATCGTTGAAAAAATGATATATACTTTAAAGTAGCATTGACAATAATCATTCTCAACTAAAAATATATATACACTGTACCTTTGTTGTTTTGCGGGAGCACTTTCTTGTCGACTGGTATCATCTTGGAGACAAATACAATCACAGGAGATTCTTCAGACGCAGAGTGGTTAATGAAAGCTGTGAAGAAAAGATTTTCTTCAAAAAAAGTAAAAAAAATAAATAAATAACCTGAGCCATGTACTTATATAATACAGAATATTGTCATTTGTCAACATACTCATTTTGTGAAAATATTTAAATTGCACCTATTATTGCCTTTTTAAAAGACACATTATTTTTTTTTTACAGGTGAATATGATTAAAATAAAGATCAAACTTCCTCACCTGGGAAAACGATTCCTTTTTTTATCCTTTCTTCTAATAAAGTAAATGGGGAGGAAAGCTATGTACAATGACTCCTGGAAATTCTCAAATAAATACTTTAAATTGTTTTTAAAGTGCATTAATTTAAGGAAATACATAAGATGCTTTAATTGTGTTAAAATAGAACTATTTTATTAAAACTGAAAAATATTGTACATGTTTGAAGTAAACTAACAATCAATCAATCCAAAACATATTTTGTATAATTATACCTTTTGAAAAATATTGAATCAAACACAGTTCAAAAGCTCCTCCTAGGGACTACTACACAGAGCAGATTCTTGAATTTAATCCAATAATGTTACAAATCTTTTTGTAATACATTTTGTCAGATATTTTAAAAATGTATTGATAACCTGGATGCTGACTTACAATTAATCAGAGCATCAAACATTCAAAAGTAGTGATACACTTTTTACTAATATTCATTTAAGTTGTGTCATATGTATTTTGTATCTTTATTCATCAGGGTTTTTTTTTATTTTCCACAGTCCTTTTCAATACTTTTCTTAAATTTATTCCTTCTTCACTTCAAGCTTGGCTGAAAATGTTCCCTAAATTCTTCGTAAAGTTAAAAAATCCCTCTATATCTTTAAATTCAAAATGTTACAATTCAGCCAAATTACATAAATATATAATAATATATTAATATAGCAGATGAGCTTTGATCAGAAAAAAAAATCATGAAAAATTCTTGCCTGTGTGATTTTCATATACTGCAAGAGTATACATTTCGAAGAAAAAAAATTCATATTGAGACTTTGATATAACTCTTAGTATGAAAATGACAAAAACTAAATTAAAACATTTTTACATAAAATTTATTTCGAACAACACAGATATAATTAAAATTCAATTTAACGATTCAGTATTTATTTCATTTTGGTGAGAGTCCTTTGTTTTTCAGCATGCTCCACTATTTTCTCGTCCACTTTGAGTCCCTTCCGTTTCCGGACCTGGTTCATATAATGTCTGGCTCTGTTGTCAGAGTCCGCCTTTTCTCCAAAATGAGCGTATTCCTCCTCTGTAGTGGGCACCCAGAAAGGGTCAACATCCTAATACCTGTCAAAAATAACAAAATAAATGAATGAATGGCAATTAATTGATAGCTTCGATCACCGGAGTGAAAAACTGTGAAAACTAATCAAAGAAAATCTGTATTATTTGTGAATCACTCAATCAAGTTTAATGGTAAAAATTCAGAAAGTATGTGTACATATATGTTTATAAACAATCAATATTTATTTACTAATTACTGCAAAATTTTCGTGGGGTCAAATTTTTTAGGTTTGAGGAAAAAATATTGGTTTGTGGAGATTTGAATTCGTGTTTTGAAAATGTTTGGTAGTAATTTTACACTTCATGATGGTCATATATTCGTGGGTCTCTCCATACCTCGAAAACAACAAAAACTAACCCCCATGAAAATTAGTGATTTCACAAAATTTACCATGTAAAATGAATTTTTCTCCATGTAACTGAATAGCTGTTTTACTAAGCAATATTTGAATCATTCGACAGTTACCCAGGTTCTCGTTTACACCACTAATAAAAATAGATTTCTAAAGGACTGTGTTCATCAACGTAATAAAGGCTATTATTCAAATTATTAATTTATATATTTCCTTTTTAGACACTGATTTACTACCCATGGTAAATCGCGAAATAAAGTTGTCACAAATAGAAGTTGGTTTACACTACTGACCTCCCAATGACTGAACACCAGTTGAGGACTGGCTAAACCACTCGTCTTCTTCCTAATTAATTAACTCCTTAAATACATTGCACCCCCTAGCCAGTGATATACTGATCTCCCAGTGTCTGAACACCAGTTGAGGACTGGCCAAACCACTCGTCTTCTTCCTAATTAATTAACTCCTTAAATACATTACACCCCTAGCCACTGACATACTGACCTCCCAGTGGCTGAACACCAGTTGAGGACTGGCTAAACCATCTGTCTTCTTCCTAATTAATTAATTAAGTACATTACATCCCTAGCCAGTGATATACTGACCTCCCAGTGACTGAACACTAGTTGAGGACTGGCTAAACCACTCGTCTTCTTCCTCACGTCCTCAGCAAATCCAAAACTCTCTACCACCGGCAGCACGGCTTTAATGTTAAAGTTCTGAGAGCCCTCCATCATTGTGTCCTCAATAACTCGACCAAAGCGCTTCCCAAGGACACCACAAAGTTTTCCTACCAAAAATAAAGAACATGAATCACTGAATTAGGACTCAAGAACTTAGACAAATTGCTTTACTTTAACATTATACAATTTCATGTAATTTCATTCATAAAAATATTCATTACAGAGGTATCAAACAAAATGCTCTGTCACAAAATTAAAATTTTTAACTGAAAATTCAATAAAAACATTTGAGACTGAGATATGAATGATTTATATTGACATTTCCACTTGAATATATTTATAACTTTGTGCTCACATTGTACTTCACCTACCTAAGACTTCGGCTGTAGCTTGTATGTTACACTTATACATGGCTACCATCAGTCTCTGAGGTCGGGTCTGGAATGCCTTACGACAGCCCTCCTTCACACAATAGATCAGCTGACCTGACATGTGACTGTGACCCTCCTTCTGTCTCGGCTGAGACGGCTCAATCTCACTGTCAGTAGACTCAGACTCGCTACCATCCTTGTCTCTGTCAGTTTCACTTTGTGTTACATTGGGCAGAGATTCAGTCTGACTCACTGAGGTAGGATTATCACAGGAATTAATCTGGGTTACCTCCCTTTTATGAACTTCTTCATCCAGAGAAATTGAGTGACTACTCCTAACATAGTTCCATTCTTCAATAATGAAACACACACCCCTCAAGGGCTCCTCACAAAGGGGCCCATCAAGGGTGGCGATTTGAAATCCACTGATTATGCTGTTATCATACTGTCTTAACTTTAGTTCCCACTGCTTTTGTTCCACACAGTTCCAAACATTAGCTCTGTCATATCCCCTCACACGATTGAGTAACACATTTGGTCCAACTCACTTAGGTCCAAACGACCATATCTGATTTTCTGCATCCCTCCACATCTTTCCAGAAGCCTGGAATATCTTACTGAGCTGAGATTTGAATTCTCTGATAGAGTCTATTACAGATTGCTGGACTTCCAGACCCTCCCTCCCCATACCGTGGGCCTTGGAGATCTGACACATTGTCTTTCTCAGATTTTGATTCTCCTCCAGTAGCCCTGTGACGTCGTCCGGTAGAGGCACCGCCCTGATCCTGAGGGTATACCTTCCATTGATCATGCTGACCTCCACTAACCCTGGCTCAATGATTTCATCGTCTTCAGTATCTTTCTTGATGACCTGACGTTGGTCTGAGATGGCTTCATTCACCATGTCTGTTTTTGGTGGAGGGACAATTGTATCTCTGAATGGGACAATTGGTGAAGATACATTGATGTCTATCTTGGCATACCTAAAACAAAGAGGCACAAGTACCGGTATTTTATGTCAATACAACCTCTTACACATCAAATAATCATACATCAGAAGTATCAAGCTGGAATACACATATGATCTTCTCATTTATGAAACACCATATTCAAAACTTTAAGCATTGTCTACAGACCAACAGACATTAAGACAACTGAAGGACACCTTCCAAACACACTTATCTTACCTTTCTCTGAGGTCATCCACACATCTCTGTAGATGAATCTCTCCTGCTGTAATGATCACGTGTTCACCTGTCTCCTGAACCAGAACCTGAACACATGGGTCAGCCTGGTTCAATAATCTCAGACCCTCCACCAACTTCTGCATGTCACCTGGAATTAAAACAAGACATTAATTGCCACAAAAGGTCATTTGAGTCACTTTGACCCTGTTGTTCTTCAGAAAAAAATATCTCTCTCTCTCTGTATACATGAGAAGTCTCTAACTCAGTATTGTGGAACCATTTCAGTCATGAGATGAACAATTTTGGGCCTTCACATCATGAGGATGCAGTGACAAAAAGACTTACTTAATCTTGCTGTTCTGGAGAAATGATCTTTTTCCTTCTACACATGTATTACCCAGGTATATACGTAAGTTAAGTTTGATTTCATATGATAGCAAAAGGGGCCATATTTTGGGGGGTGGAGGGATCAATTCTGGAAACTCTTGATCAGAAATGCCCATCTGACCCTTTGCCTCAGGAAAGCTAACAAAAAGTCTCTGAGAAGACTGTAGCTCTGCTGCCTTGTATGTGAAACATTAAAGGAGAAAAGGAACACTGGCGATTGAAACTATGTGTAATAGCAATGAATGGAAAAATGATTCCTTGTCAAGTTTCTCTTTGTGACAAAAGGATCATTCTCTATAAGGCCGTTTTGCAGCCTACAATGACTTCAAAGGATGTATTCACTTTGACAAAAGAATTGACAGTGACATTTAAAAATTACTCTTTATTTGTTGTTTTCTACCGTATATATGTTCAAATTTTTCAAATTTGCATTTTATACCTAAAATTTATTATTTACAACTTTACAATAAACCTCCAAAGTTGGCCGAAACACCATTTTGTCCGTTAAAGCGTGGATTTTTGCCTGAATTTTGACCTAGAAGTCCTTCAGGGCAGGCCTGCCCCTAAATAAAATTGTGATATTTTGATAGGTTAGTATGTAAGGAATAATTTAAGATAAGATTTTTTCAGGGGCACCCCTGCCCTAGGGTCAAATTCA